TGGACTTCATCATTTTGCGCATTGGCCTTCACGAGGGCTCTTTGCATATCGCCCGCCTTTTGACACTGTGTGCCTTTGCCATTGCATATGCCAATCAGAGCCAGACCTTCACCGTGGACAGCCTGGCTTTGTTTGCCTCCGCCTTTGACTGGCGCAAGCCTACAGCATGCTTCTTGACTCAAACGACAAGCCTTTCAGCCAGGGGCCTCCTGACGGCCGCCTGTGACCCTAATTTCAGGCGCTTTGCAATTCAGCATCGCTGGCACGAGCACTCCGAGTCAGCCTTAGTTTCACTTTTGCACGTATGTTGGCCCTAAAACAACCCGCCTTTTGAATGCGGTTTTGTCTTGCCTTGAAGACCTTGAATTCATCCTCGTGCATATGCAGCCCGCGATGCCCGCATTGCCAGTTAGGGAGACGCACTCTCACGAACCTGTGGACCTCACGTCATGCTCACAGTTTTAAAAGTGTGTGGCTCGCGCTCTGCTTGACACCCGCTCTAATAAGCCCTGTCGCTCAGCGGACTCAGGCATTCACTGCCGTGGCCTCATTTCACAGCCGTGCTACAACCATGCCTTCATCTTAGTACCTTTGTGCATTCGGCGGATGACAGGCCCGCGCCGGCTCTCCAGCAGCCTTGTCATCACGTGCCCCAAGCATTTTTGCCGTGTGCACATCGGTTTTGCAGCATCAGACTTGTGTTTTGCAGCCATTTCAGCAGTGTGCAACGCGCCCACTCCTGCTCGGCACCATTCACTCGCCTTGAGCATGTCGGACCAAGTGCCTTCCTCAGACCTGATGGGCATTGTCTCCAGCACGACGGAAGAGAACCAGGCAGCCCTGACCGCCATGCTTGCAGCCTTGAGGGAACGCACGGCCTCGCGATCCTCGTCGCCTTTGCCAGAGGCACGGATGAGTCCTCAACATTGCCGCCCGAAGGGGCGTCTACTCAAGACCTGCCTGAGCCTTGCACTGAAGAGCCGCCCTTGGTGCCGCTCCTCGACCCTGCCAGGGCAGAGAACTTCTTGTATCAGCCCTGCGATAAAGACGAAAAGCCTTGGGCCGACCAGCTCGCACCAGAGCTGCCCCCGGCAGACTCTACGCCGGCACCAGTGCCTTCCCAGGACGCATTGGCTCCAAAGCCTCGCCCTTCGCCGCCCAGTACGCAATGGCCTGACGCTCCAGGTTTGCCGGACGATGCCTTGCCGGCTAAGCCTGATCCTCAAGGCGGCTCCCAAGCCAAGGCTTTGCCTTCGGAGCCGCAGAGGCCTCCGCCCGGGCCCCCACCCAAAGCAGCCTTGAACCCGCCTTGCGACTGGCCTCCTCAGCCTTCCTCCGGGTTCCACGAACCCAAACCTGACCTTCAGCACTTGGGCCTTGCACCGGACACGCCTTTGTACGCGTGGGACGGCAGCTGGTGGATGAACTTCTATGACTTGCCTTTCGGTTGCCCTCCCACGTGCGCCACGCGCATTGACGAAGACCATCACGCCTTCAGCATTGACTCCTGCTGGAAACGCAATGAGCGGCAGTTTTATCGTAAGCCCGCGCAGCCCTGGCCAAAGCCCTCCCAGCCGCAGGAGAACACACGCGCCATAGCCCAACTGGAGCAGTGTGCGCAAATCCGGCCATGCGACTGCCCTGCACTATGAAGGCAGCGCGAGTGGGGGGGGTAGCCAAAGCCTGGTACCTGGACGACCAGTCCCGCGTGTGCTGCGCATTGCCTTGTGCATCATCGCCTTGTCCTTTCCACTCCGCCTGCGGTCGCATCATCAATGACCGGATGCCTTTGGTTGAGGACACGCACACTTCGCACTACTGCAGCCGGTGCTATGAGTCATGCAGCCCAACGTGGCCATGTATTGATGCCTTGCCCTGTGCATGCACGCACAACTCAGCTTTAGGAGGGCTGCGCAGTGCGCTCGGTGCTTGTTTATGTTGCATACTCGCTGTCCTTTGTACGCATTAGCCTTGTTTGCTACCCATCGCCTTACCCGAGACACCTGCGCAGTGCGTTGGCCCTCCTTGCAACCCGCTCCGCATGCAGCAGATGCAAGAAAACGGCCTGGCCTTGTTGTACTCCGCCCTAACATTGCAGACTCGTATTAGTTCTGCAACGGCGCAGGTACACTGCCAGCCTTCGAGTCAACACCTCAGATGCATCGCTAGTGCATTTGCCTCGATCTTGACCAGCACTGCAGTTAGGCTCGATGCCTTATCGCAACAAACAGTTTTGGGGGCGAGCATTTTCATTCTCCCCCGATGGCCTTTCCGACGAGATGGATGCAGACTGCCCTGCCCTATGCCCAACCCAGTGGTCAGGCCCTCCAGACGTACGCCCAGCTACTGCCTCTGCCTTCATATCGCCAGGAACGACTGCCAAGGCCCACCCAGAGCTTAGCTGGCCCTCAGGCAAGGATCACGGCAATCGGTCCAGGCCTTACCCATTGCGCGCCTCTGTGAGCGATCTCCGCTTTCAACTGTGGAGCCACGCAACACTTCCTCCTTGCCCTAGGCCTTCTTTAGCTACTCTAAGACCAGGGTGCCCTGTGCCAGAGTGCATCCCACTGAGGTCCTGGGTAGACCCTGTTTCCTGCCCCCTGCCCAAGCCGCCCTGCAGGCCTTGGCCACGCAGTCTAGCCTTGCAGTCTCACTTCAGCCAGGAACGCGCAGATCAGATCCGATCCCTGCTCAGCCCATCACCCACAGTGTTGCCCTCACGCCGCGTGTTCGGCGCCAAGCCTACAATGCCCAGGCCGTATGGCCCAACCCAGCTGAGCCCTCCTCCACTGCCGAGCTGCAGGCCACACTGAAAGACAAGTGTGCAGCCGAATGGGTTTTGATACTCAAATCCTGCGTCGCTAGCAGCAAGCTAGCGCAAGCCCTGGAAGCCTCGCAGCACCCTCAGATTCTCATTGAAGCGTCACTGCGAAAATTTTCGGGGGGCACATTGTCGCAGTACCTCCGTGCCATCCGCCTTTTTCTCGCCTTTGTACAGCAGTGTGTGGGTGATTTGCTGAGCCTTACCCTGGCCCACCTGTCAGACTTCATCGCAGGCTGCCATGTGTCCCAGGCAGAGGACCGCACAGCACTTAAATGCAGTGCCGTCATGATGAGCAAGGCACTGTCTTGGTTTGCACGCATTGGGCAAATATCCTGCCTGTTAGACTTGATGAGCAGCCCCTTAATCAAGTCTTTCGCCTACAACCCCAAACCACACGATCGACGGGAGGCCTTGCCCTTTGCCACTGGCCGTTCTTGCAGCCTGGGAGGAACACATAGTGTCCCCCACTTGCACGCCCGCTGTGGGCCTGCTACTAGGTGCCCTGCTTTTGTGCGCCCATTGCAGCCTAAGATTTGGCGACATTCAGAGAATCAAGCCCTCCGCTCTTTCACTGTCTGCACAGGCACTCAGGGGCCTATGTTGGGCCACCAAGACAACCTGCCAAGGACAGCCCTTTGCATGCTTGCCTTTCGGTTTCCGGGGTGAGGATATCAGCGCATCCTGGCTAGTGAAGTGGCTGGCCCTGCTGAGTCAAGCCCTTGACGCCACCCACTCCGAACGGGGAGACTCACTTGTGCCAGATTTCATTTTGCCCTGCGTTCCAAACCTGGAATCCCACACATGCCCCAGCCTTTCACACCAGAAGCCAGCCAGAAGCCAGCCGACAACCCAGCCAGAAGCTAGCCGAAAAACCAGCCAGAAGCCAACCAGCCAGCCAACCAGCCAAACCAGCCAACCAGCCAAACCAGCCGAAAAGCCAACCAGCCAACCACACGAGAGAGAGGTCGAACAATTTAAAAGGACAAAAGATGAGCCTGGGCCCGCAAGCGCGTTCCAGGATTCGAAATCTAAAATGCTGCGTGCAGGCGTGTGGCTGCAACAAAACGACGTTTTCAGCAAGGTCGAGGTTTGCCAAAGGAAACCGAATTGCCTTTTGTTTCGGGCCCCCTTTTTTGGGGACCCCTTGTTTTTCTTTTTTCTTTTTTTTTCTTAGCCCCGCAAAGCTCGGCTTGCTGAAATGCAACCTGGAGGCAAATTGCAGCGCGTATCTAGGGGTCGTTTTGTTGCAGCCACACGCCTGCACGCAGCATTTTAGATTTCGAATCCTTCGCAGGACGGGGTCGTTTCCTGGATGGACGAGTGTCAGATCCCTCCCAGGTGCAATAGAGCCCGTTTGGGGAATGGCCTCTAAAAAGAGAGCCTGAGGAAAGGTTCCAACAAAATTTTACGCTAAGCTGCACGAGAACGGTTTGCAACGTTTACCAGCGCCATCCCGACTCAGCCGGGCTCCGTCAACTGTGCCAAGCTGGCATCGCCTAGTTGCTTTTGACGCAGTTGTAATCCGTATGCTCAGGAAAGCCGGCGTTGAGCTGTGATATGGGTGGCTGGGGCCACGGGTTGCGCCGTCGGGTTCGATCGGGCCCCGATTGCACCGTTGGGCCCCGGGCCCCGATTGCACCGGCCCCGATTGGGCCCCTCAACCCGTCGGGCCCCGATCAGGGCAAGATTGCGCTGTCACTCGCAGCTTTGCTTTAGAAAGTTACAAGGCGGCATCCTCAGCAACACCGGAGGTAAGGACGGTCCCGGGGCGTTCCGCGAGGGCTGTGGTGCTGTTGGGGGTATCGCCCGACCTTATTTTTCCAGGAGCCGGGTGCATGGGTTCTTCCAAGTTTCCTAAGTTCCTTAACTTCGAAGTGGGGCCAGGGAATTAAAACTAAGGAACCTAGGAACTTCGGGAACTTTGGAGACCTTCTCCGCGATACCGTTTTGCGGCAGCGTTGTTTGTGTCTGCAGTCGATTCAGCCGAACCCTTCTCCATTTGGTTTTCATTTTGAGGATTTCCTTTCACAATCATTTTTCCAATTTTTTCCTTTTTTTTTTTCCTTTTGTTTTTTCTTCAAACAATATTTCAACAACACAAAACAATAAGGTTATAAAAGGGATCGGCAAGTATTGTGACGAATGCTCAGACAACAAAACAATCTTGTTGATGTGAGGAATCACCAAATCTTGCAACGGCCATGGCAGCAAGTTCCAGGACAAGAGGCCGAGGCCAGCCGGGGCTATGAGATTGCGGTGTCCGCGGTATGCCGCGGCAGGCGTGTCGTTTCGAGCTCGGCTGCCAGAACCGCAACAGCGCATTGGCCCATTCCTGAGAGTTGCCCAGTCCCAAACGCGCTGTCCTTCGTTCAGGTGAGACCACGCCCTTTCAGGGCTGCGCAAGAGGACCTTCAAACCCAAAGCTTGCAAGTTTGGACGGTTGCCGTTGGCTGCCAGGGCCGGCTCGATCTCAAAGAGGCGGTGGGCTTTGAGAGAAAGCGACGTCCCAGCTTGGCCTCGCTCAGATGATTGCAGAAGCCGAATGGGTGCTGGAGGACAACGGCACGGTAAAAGAGACCAAAACTGTGTTGGGCCGCTGGAGCAGCACGTGGGTCGGGGTTGCAAGAGCGGTGAAAGGTTTGAGCTCAGGAAAAGCGCAGAAGATATATCCAGAGAAGTGGACCCTTTCAGGCGACAAATGGAAGAGGCAGGACTTTCCGGCTGACTTGGTTGCATTGTTGGCGCGCGTGGTGCGACTCAGTGTGGAGCCCAACGGATGGTTGAGCTCAAACTTTGCGTCGCACCTCAATTCGGGCCAGGGCCGCCTGAACTGGATCAAGGAGGCCATCGAGGCGCGGGAGGGCCTCAATGCGTCAAGGACAGGGCAAGTGGGATGCGAGCGATTGCGAGCAGAACGACAATAATTGGTACCTCGTCGATGCCTTGGACAAGCACCCCACGGGGAAGCTGCCTGCGAAGACGGTGACGGCCTGCAGCCCCGACAGGCAGCACTACTCCAACTGCATCAAAGATGGTGGAGAGTGTGTCTACATGGAGGCGTGGAAAACGCAGGAGCTGCGTGGCCCATGGGAGTTTGGAGGTGCACTACGCATCCTTTTGGCTGGAGGACAAGCCCATACACAAGCCGGCAAACTGCAGGATTCCGAGGCGAACGACTTTGCCACCGTGCAATATGCTTTGTGTGGAGATCTGGACACCATGGGGACGAAGCTGCCGAGCAGACTTTTCACAAACCTTTCTGTGGACGGGATTTCTTGCAAAGTGGCTGTGTGCTCCGCCTGGGTGAAAAGCCTTCTTGCAGAGAAGCACTTTGCCGAGCTTGTGATTTTGTGAAAGGACCGAAGCGACCCCAAATCACAATATAGGCTGGAAGATATTGTCGGGTTTTGGCTCACCACATTGTGGTGTCGCAAGCGCTTGAGACCTGGGAAATAACGAATACAGGAGAAACAACGGCCTCCTGGAATCACGAGGATGGCAAAATATTTGGTATTTCCTGACGGCTTGGCATTGCTGCAGCGATTCCAACGAGCGCAGATGGCTTCAAGCCGTGAAAGGCGACCGGGCGAAATGCCTTGCTTGACTTCAACCATGGCATCTCTGTGACAAACGCCCCGAACGACAGCATCAAACCGACATTTGTACAGGGGCTGCGTGACATTTTTGAAGGCTGCAAGGGAGAACACAGTCTCACCCTCTCTTTTTGGGTGACAGGAGACCCGCAGCAATTCAAACCGGATTCAGGTGCCCAGATCAAGTATTTGATGGCGTTGGCACAGGGAGGCAGTGTGTTCCAGAATGTGTCTGTACAGGTCGTGCAGATTCCAAAGACGCTGGACAGACTGCCGGAAGCCTGATATCCTGAAAAAGGGCGGAATGTGTTGAAACTGCGGGGCACGGGGCGCCGAAATCAGATCGCAGTTAGAATCGGTATGAACTGGCGGCTGTGTTGGAACCAGTGTTTCTCGAAGAGAGCTCATTGAGGGAAACGAAACATCAGGGCGCGATGTGGAGCAAAAAGCCAACGTTGTGAGCGATGATAATTGTCGGGATGCAAATCACGTTGTGTGGCGTTCCTTTGTCCTGCGAAATGGTACGCGCAGTTGCCGAGAACTCGTGCTTTGCTGATGGGAATTTCAAGCTGTGGGTGCCCTGAGCTAGCAAAGTTGCGCGCTGTATACCCGCGACAGGACTTGCAGCTGTGTTGGATGATCGCCAATGCTGTCACAATTTCATCAAATTTTGGCAGTTGCCAGTTGCTGCTCCTCGGCCCTCCCAGGGTGGTTTGGTGGGCAGTTTCTTGCCGCCTGGTGGTTTGGAGGGTGGCAGAATCCCTCATTTACCCTCTACAAGAAGAGGTTCAAATCCCCAAACAACCAAGCAAAGCGGACCTGAGCTCCCCCCCCGTGGTGGTTTGGAGCCCGGTTGGTGGACAATTTCCCAGACAAGACTGGGTTCTGTAAGACTGTGGCTGGGGATCACATGGTTTTTCTAGGGCACCTGTGTTGTTGTTGTAAAGGGAAACCAACGGGAAGCAACTTTTTCGAGGGTTACCTCACAAAAAGACAAACTAAATGGGGGCTGGGGATCCATTTGCCGCAATCCGTAGTGGGACATCTCTACAAGGGAAACCACCTGGCCACTTGGCATAAAGAATAAGGATTGATCTTGAACCCACATACAGAGAGAGAGAGAGAGAGAGAGAGAGAGAGAGATATATGCGTGTTACTTATCTTCCCCTTTTTAAAGTGATACTTAATTCCAGTCCCTTTTTGAACTGGTGCTAGTGGTAAGATTGGCCGACAGACCGTGCGTCGCTGGCGTTTTCCGTTTGACAAGAAGAACACGAACCTGTCTTTGCATCCCTTATTGCACCCCACCCCTAATTGGTGGCTTGGATTGCTGATGTGTATCCTGTACTGTGTATACTTCCGCCAGTCCATTCAGTATGGGTGTTCCCAAAAATAGTTAGAACTTTCTTGGCAGGTTAACAGAATGCTGAAGAACATCACAGCCATGTGTGGAGGCCAGTTTCCATTTTCGGGACTGTATGGCTGCCATGATCTTGCCCTGGTGTGCTATCATCGCCCTCCCACCCTCCATGCTAGCAACTTGTTCAAGTGCTCCGCCGTGTATGTTCTCTCTTGGCGGGACTCTGGACTGCCAAGGCCCACTGCGGACAGACTTGCCAACAGACGAGGCCGCGTTCAGACACAGCTGATTTAGGATAATTGCGTATGAATTTGAATTGGACATGGCCCTTTGGTTGGCATCCTTTCTGTGGGGAATGCCGAAAGGTGTTCCCTGTTATGAAGCTTAAGCTCAGGCTGCTGCGAGTGCTCTTTTCCCGCAGGCCCCTTTGGCCATGGCGAGTTGCGGGGTTTGGCCCAACCTGGCTGGAAGGCCTTGCAGTGAGGCAAACCTCATTGGACTGGAGGCCAGCTCGCGGAAAAAGAGGTGTGGCCAAGCTGAAGCTTTGCTTTTGCGAAATCGGTTTGCTTCCACGTGCGCCAGTCGTTTCTTCCCAAGTTGGCCTCCAAGTCTTGAGCCACGCTGGCGCGTGTCCGCTGTGCCATGTCCAGGTGCCCTTCTCGCGATGCAAACGGCAGATGCCCGAGGCGCAGAACAATTCCTTGCACTCAACGCATTGGAAACTGGGCTGAGCAAAAGGCAAATGAACCCAAGAGCAAACAAAATTAGGCTCATGAAGGTGCAGGCATTACCACTCGATGCGACGTGGCACTGGGAGCGGCGCTGGACTCTTTTAATTTCTCCACACCCCGCTTCTGCCTCAACAAGTTGTGTTGGCCAACATTTTTGCAGATGGCTTGTGGAAACGCACTCGGGTTTTGCCTTTCCTTTGAAATCTCTGCTTGTGTGGCTTCGCACCCTTCCAGGTCGTGTAGTTGCTTTCCTTGGTTCGAAGTGAGGGCATTCCGCTGAGTACCTGACTGAGACGTGAGCCAAGGCGCCAGCAGGGCGCGCCAAAGGACTCGGAAGGGGCGGGAGCATCGAGATGCCTTGAGGCAAGCTGGTTCGATGCCCGGGTTCGATGCCCGGAGCTGGCTGGTGAAGCCCGAGCTGACGATTCACCACAAACTGCTGCAAGCTGCCACGCGCTGCTGCAAACTGCTGAGCGCGAACGTGAGCGAATTTCTTGGATGTTTTTGCCGCCTAGCACAGTGTGGCCGCCCACATGCAGGCTCATTCTCTGCCGCTTTGCTGTTCATACCGGCCTGGCTGTTTCCGCTTCGCCTTCCTCGGCTTGCGACACGTCCGTCTTGTGCCTTTCTTTCGAGGGGACCTGAATTCGCGGCTGGCAGCTGTGGACCTCGCCACTTCGCATTCCAGAAAGGCTGGAACGAATTTGATCTCCGTTGCGGGTTGGCGTGGATTGCACTCGTGGCAACTCACTTGCAGAAGAATCCTAGCCTGAGCTTGTCCATGCGCATCGCACAGGCGCTTGAGTGAGGAGGCGGCTGCTTGCATGAGTTTGCGTTTGCCTCCGCACAGAAGTTTTGCCCAGAACCCATAGTGTAGGCAGGGGTGAATGGCACGTTAGTTTGTCTATGTGCCTTGCTTGAAGGAAGTGCGATTGAATTGGGAGCATCCCCCAACTCGACTTTGTACTTTGTCGCTTGTGCGGCTCTTGCGGAAAAAGCTGCAACGCTGTACAGCGTAGCGGCGGACTTGCAGGAAAAGGCAAGCTCTTGGGAAAATGTTAGCACACTGTGAGGTAGTTGCCCCGTGGAGGCGCAGCAAAGAAGTGTAGCCACGACGCCTGCAGATCGGGCGCGGGGATGCGGTCGAGCAGCTGCCGCTCTTCTGACGCAAGCGGTCCTGAGCAAAATGCCTGACCAAACAAACTGCCTATCACGAGCGGCAAACATTTCGCTGAAAACATGTTTGTAAGCTACGTGCATGCAATTCATGGTTGCCGTGCTTCAACATTTGGAGCGCAAAGTTCCCGTAACTCTCCTCCTCCCCCCCCGTATGAGGGAAGATTATACGAACATGTGTCGCAACGTGTTGCGCGCAACAAAAAGCTTGTTGGGGCTTCATTCTCATTCCTCCTGGCTTTTTCTTTTCCATTTCCTTTCTGCGGCTAATTGTTCTAATTATCCTAATTCTTCTTTGAGACAGCCAGGTTAGGTCTTCCCAGGTGTGTTGTCCGGAAGGAAAATTAGAAACTTTGAAAACATGTTTGATTGTCCAGCTGATTTTCTAATTTAAATAGAAACAATAGCTGAAATGAAAGGACATGAAAGGGAAATGACAGCTACGGAAAGCTGGCCCCCCTATCATCCTCGTCAGCATCATTTTCATCATCATTTTCATCATCATTTTTCATCATCATCATCATCATCATCATCATCATCATCATCATCATCATCATCATCATCATCATCATCATCATCATTCTCATCGTCATCATCCTTTTCATCCTCATGTTCATGATGTTCTTTTCAATTTTGTCCAATTTTTCTAGTCGATTCGAACAAATAGCTGAACAATCAGTCATTCATTTGTTTTTCATTTCCTTTCAATTTCCTTTCCATTTCCTTTCCATTTCCCTTACTTTTCTATTTCCTTTCCAGTTTCTTTCCGTTTCCTTTTTGTTTGCTTTTCATTTGGGCTTCGGCGTGCGCGGAATCCAGCCGGGGCAGGCTCCGTAATTGATTCTATACAAGACTTTGTCAGCAGTAAGCCTCGAACTGCCAAGCACAAACGTTCCCTTTGATTGTTTTGTTGTTGTTGATTCACCGCCCTCTTCTGAGCGTCCAATAATGAGAAACAACATAGACAGCATGTTTGGTTTTCTAGCTACTGTTTTCAACTAATAGAACCATCGGAAAACAATCACTGATTTGTCAGCCAGTTTGCTAATGAACTGGACAATGACTGATTCCTGATTGTCCAGCTATTGTTTCTATCTAGTATTTCAATTATTTGTGAGACAAGTATACGACTACTGGCAGGATGAACCAGGATAGAAAGGACATAAAAAGGACATGGAAGGAATGGCAAGGGAACGGAACGAAACGGAAAGGACAAGAAAGGAATTAAACTGGAGTCAAAATGGAATGGACATGGAATGGACATAGAAAGGAATTAAGAATAGGGAAAGCAAACTCGCCGCTTCAAACTCTGATGGAGATTACAAAACGAGCACTTTTCCGGCTCGGTTGGCCTTGATCACTGCAGTAGAGAGGAGCGAAAAGGAATGGAAAGAACTGGAAACACAAAAAAGGAAAGAGAATGGAAAGAAATGGAAACAACATTGGAAAGGAAATGGATAGGAACAGAACTAGGCAGAAATACACAAAGTAAAAATAAAGAAATGGATTTGAAATGGAATGGACATGGAACACACATGGAAAGGAATGAAAGGAACATGGAAAGGGACGGAAAGATCTCGGCATACATTTTGAGGAATTGGACATGAAACTCGCCGCGTCCAAATTCTCGACACGGGAAATTGCGAAAAGAGCACGTGTTTGGCCCGGGCTGGCCTTCGGCACTTCTAGCTAGGAATGGAAAGGAAAGACATGGAAGTAAAATGGAATTGACATGGAATGGAAATGGAACGGAATGACAGGGAGGGAAAGGAAACTCGCCTCTTCAAAACTCTTTTGAGGAAAATTGCAGAATGAGCATTTCCTTTCTTCCCCCGCTTTTACGAAGGATATAGGCAAAAGATCCCAAGAGCTGATATGAAAACAAGCTATCCATCGCTTCGCTAGCTGTCACAACCTTACGAATGAGGACGAAGTAATTCCATATTTATTAGTCTTATGTCTCTATATCTGTCCTTCTCATAATCCTTTTCATGCATTTTTTTTTTTAAAGATTTGGAGAAGGAAGGACAGATAGGTGACTAGGAGATCCTCTATACAAGCCTTATAAATGCGAACGAAGATATTCAAAAGTAG